CCCATATCCCAGGCAGTGCTACTGACTGAAATGTCTTTAGGTCATTCCCAAAGGGGGGATATTAACATGTTAACCCCTTCAACGTGGCAGGTAAATAGACCCCTGTGCCGGGGGAAATCCCACGAACCAATGCTGCTCAGGATGACCCCACTCTACCTCCCATAACTTTTTTATTTATGATTATTTTCTCATGAATTTCTGCGTGTACATTCTACATTGTACCATATTACTGTTGATATAATTTTGGGGAGATTTTATTTAGATATAGATGGAGAAAAGTTGGAGTTAGTAACATGATCCCAAAAGCAACACCACCGAACAACATAAAACAATGCACATTTCAGTAATGATTAACTGAGGCAAAAAAAAAAAGGGGAAATGCACTTTATGAGTGTCTGCAGGTAAAGAGGAAGTGACAAGAGGCTTTTCCGACCTTATACAACGCTCCTACCATCCATACATATACATGTAAGCCCATCTGTATTTACGGTCAATAAATCATTTTTGTGCGGTAGATGTGTTGGTTTAGATCTAGATCTAATCTTCTCTTTGAGCTAAAATCTGAATCTGACGCTTTCAAATCAAATTTGGGGGGGGGAGGTGAAATGGTGGTAAACATAATGGGAAGGTATCTCAATAATAATTACAAGATTTTAGCAGTAACTTCTGTTATAATTGGTATCAACACTACCTCTGTCATAGTCCCGTAAATTCCACGGGCCACAGGCACAGCGCTACACGGTTCAGGCTCGTAAATTCTACAGGCACAGCAGCGAAGAGGTTAACATGTTCTTATGCATAGTAGAATTGTAAATGGGCTGATTTATCAATGTAATGCCTATGCTGTGCTGGAACAACTTAGGGGGAACTGTTGCTTTTACTTTCCTCATCCTTACTATCGTCATTTTTCCTTTACTTCTTTTGTATGTTTGTCACTCTCTTGTGAACTGTTATTTTCGGGGTGTCTTGATAGCCGAAGCAGACTTTGTGCTGTTGAGGTTAGAGAGGTTTCGACTTCTCTGTTGACATTCCACCTCTTAGCGCTCATATGACCTTATGCCATTGCGAGCGCCGTAAAACCTTACTAAAACAAACAAAACTTCTGAAATTTGATATTTTCTTGCTTTTTTACCATCTAGAACTGGAATTTTGACAAAATATTTCTTGAGCACCTACAGCCGATACCATGGAATTAAAAAATTTCAAAATATTAGGCTTGTGACATATTACAGCTGACTGACGTAATGCTGCTTCCAACTTGTATCTTGGTTTACTCACTGGCTGCCCCTGCCACATATGTTGAGGTCAAATTTTGTTCTAACTGCCAACATTTGGCATAGCCTCAGTGGTTTCCCAGTTCAGAATGTATTTCAGCATGTTATTACCATAGCTATATTTGTGATTCTATGTCTGTTACATCGCCGTGCTTTTAAAAATATTCATGAAATGGCGGGTACTCTGGAAAAAGCAAAGACAAATATGACTGATAGGCTGTAAGTTAAAATTTTTCAGAGGGTTTGTGCTTTCCTCTCAAGTGCATTGTCTTGCACTACACTAAGGTATCGAATAAGCGTTGCCCCCAGTAGTGTCCATTTTTTTTTTTAGCACCCCCCACTCCTTGTTCCATACGCCCTGTTTATTATTTTCCAGCTTGCCATGATCGACGATCATGTGCAACATAGATATCTGAATGAAACTTCTTTTTTTTCTATTGTAAATGGCAAATTACCCTCGGTATTCGGACCGGGTTGGCTTCCTCAATTTTCTGTGCATTTTAAAAACTTTTGTACTTTGGTTTATATTTTTTAATGAAACTGGTTTGTTCCTAAATGGGAAAAGTTGTCGCATCACTAAAATTTCATGATCTCTTGTTCTTTTTATTCACTGAAAGAGAAATGAAACAGATTTGTTCCTACTAGTACAGGGGTATGAGGTTGAATGTGCCACACACATCCTTTTTATTCCACACCCCCCACCCCCATTTTTCAACCAATTCTGGCAATATGATGGATAATAGAATATAAGTGCAAATAAACATTAGTGTTCATATCTGCTTTAGATAATACAAAGCTGTGTTTCTTTATTATAAGCATGTACCTTATTTATTTTGGACCCCCTGTCTCCCCCCGCCCCTTTTATTCATACCTTAGAGTATACAGCCGAACCTGCATGTGTAGAGCTTTTCTTTTATTCTCACTGTTTAAATAGTGAATGACCCCAGATTGTATTAGTGGGAACTAAGGGGATAAAAGAGAAATGAAAAAGCCATCAATTTTTTGTGGTGACAGTGCACTGACCGGCTGGAGCGTGACCGTCTGATCATCTTCTTGAATCGACTGATTCTGCACCAGCGGAATGTGAAGGAGATCATGGATGCCAATGGGGTCAAGACGCTTGTGGACCTACTGACCCTGGCACACTTACACACTACCAGAGCTGTTGTGCCTCTGCAGGTATGAACCTATTTCTCTTTGTAACAATTTTCTTCTTTCTTCATTTGTTTGAGAGAGAACTGTCCATCCAAAATTGCATGTTTTACTGATTATGTGCATGATTATTTGTCTGGAGTCAACCATATGTAAATTTTTCCCATTTGGTATTTGAAATCAGAATGCTTTGGGGGTGCAATTGATAGTACTCCCCTCCCCCCCCCCCCCCCCCCTTCTCATTTCATTCTGTCTTGCTTTTTCCAGAGGTTCTCTTTGTCTAGAGGTTACGGTGTTGGCCTCTCATTCAATAGGTCCCCTGTTTGAGACCTGACAGCAATGGAAAATTTTCATCTTAAAATTTTTCTCCTTCCATCTCCTTTCCTGCTTTCTATCCATGTTCTTTTGTCTGATTTTTTCTCCATTTTCTCCCCCTCGTCCTCTGGGCTCCTGGCTCTTTCTGCAGCCTTTCTGCTGCTACTTTTTGGCTCCTTCTTACTGCTGTCTTTCAGCCACACCCCTTGATCGTATGATAGGTTAGATCTAACGCCTAGCTTTCTCGGATATGGGTGAAAAATCTTGGAGGTCTCCTGTGCAAGTTGTGCTCTTTAAAGATCCCTTGGTGGTTTTAAAATTTGAATGAGAGTAGGCTTCGGCCGCCACCCTGGCAAAATTCAATTATGACTTTAATGCAGTTGCGAACGCCATAAAACACTTACCAGAACCAAAAATACAAATTGCTTTTTCCATGCACTTTATGACCGTCGTCACTTATTTTTATACAGCACTCAGAGTTTATGTATTTATGTTCAGTTCCTCCTGTATTGAGGACTAGTGAAACAATTTTTCTTTTTTGAAAGTAAATTTTGTACATTTTCTTTATATTAAGTGTCATATATAGCACTATTTTAATGGGTTACGAAGATTCCATTAAGATTCTCTTTCAATTGTTATTAGACAATCAGTCTTGCCTCAGGTATGTTCTACTGATGACTTAGTCCACTGCCATACCAATTCTTTTTTTTGTCAGTCATGACTAAGCATTTGACACATCTTGACACCTGTTTTTGACCACACCTGTTTTTGGCCAGACCTGTAGAAATGCTGAGCCCTCCGGAACTTTGATTAATGTTTGGGATTCTACACCAAGTGCCTTATCTCCTTGGGGGTCAGGGGGTCAGCAGGCTGAAACAGCTTTGTCTGGGCTGGTTCAGTTTTTGGTAATTTTCAACATAAACTAAGAAGTGTAGCAAGGTATACGTAGTAATGATCCTTTTTCTCATCAGCATGTTGGAATATTTTGTTATACGCTCTTGAAGTCAGTCATGTTGGAAGGTGAGAAGAAAATTAAATATCAAAAAATGTCTCAACAAACATTTTTCAACTCTGGCAATATAGATAATAGAATATAAGTGTAAATAAACATTAGTGTTCATATCTGCTCTAGACAATAGAAACTGTGTTTCTTTATAAGCATGCACCTTGTATACAAAATTTGACTGTCATCCTTCTTGATACACTGTGGTTCCTTCTATATAAATTGATAAAGCCCGAAACAATCTGTTTTTCTGCATATTTAAATTTTTTTGAAAAAAAGTATTTTGTTTCTCCTGTAAAATTTGTCTTTATGCACATAGGTGGTTGAAATATATAGCTTATGTTCACCAAGTAGTAGCACTACGCATCTCAAACACAATGTTGTCTGTGCCTATGAGACTGCAATGTAGTCAAATATATAACTAACAAATACAATCGTGTGACTTCTTAAAAAAACTTCAAGTACCCATAAACAGTTGGACAAACTGAGGAAAACAGGGTAGAGTACTGCACTTGAAGATGAAACCTCTGAATCAACAGAGCTGGCACCCGATCTCACAACTTTTTCCTCTACAAGGTAGTGTGGGGTCAGGCTTGCTAATTCAGCCTCTGCGAGTAACGAATGGTTCCCTGGTAATACTCGCAAATGAAAGGATGGATAATGAACTGTCAGCTTGTGAAAATGCGTTTGTTGCATCTCTGGCATTTAGTGAGTGGGCAGACAGGCTGACGGACAGACTCCTTGTATAGCATACTACTACTACTTTGTCGTGTACTAATCTTTGTTATGAAGAGAGAGATACATTAAGGCAAGTGTGACACAACGCGTATTCCAATATATACCCCCCCCCACATACTGTGCTCTCATCATAGTGGTTCAACGTAGTAGCTTAGTGCCGATCGTGGAGGGTATTTTTATCCCAAGACGTTGCGGTTTTAAAAAATTTTTACTTTGGTGACAAATTAGAATGCTCACAGTGCAGCTCACAAAGGCAGTGAAAGGTAACACTCACAGTCAACTTACAGTGCTACGCCTCTAGCCTCTCACTTCCAGTGGCTCTGCTAGGGCTTGAAACAAATTGCAAACAATAGGTTCAGTATTTTGTCTGCTAGAATTCATTTTTTCCCTGCCCACGCCCAATGAGTGAATGTAATTGTGCAGCAGAACCAAAAAACGAATTGTCTTGAAGTTTGTAGTCTATCTGCATGGCCATCTATTACTTGCTTGCTGTGACTGTGTTCGTGAGTAACAAACCCGCTCGTCAGTTCACCCAAACACAACTACAAATCCAATGTCATACTGCTTTACTAGGATGCTCTTGGGCTTTGTGTTACTGTCTCAATGTCACTATGGTCATCTATTTTCTCCCCAGACCAATGTGATCGAGGCTTCTCCTGACATGCAGAGAGACAGTGAGAAAGAGTGGTACTTTGGGAACAAAGAGAAGGAACGTCTTGGACCTTTCAGTTTTGAAGAGGTGGGAGTTTTGTCAGGAACAGTTTAATGTATTTTGTCTCGAATAAATTAAAACCAAAGTATTCTACTTCTATTATTATTATTATTATTATTATTATTATTATTATTATTATTATATGTGTGTGTACCTGGTGAAAGGTACCGGATGACGCATTTTGAGGCACTACATTTTATTTCCATTTCTGGTACAAAAAATTGTTTTTGAACAATTTGCCTCTTGAATTTTTTTAGATAGTAGTTTAAGTACTTTGTTAGATCTGGTTAATATTGTTGGGTAGGATGCAGAAGCAATGTTTTGAATAAAATGGCTTTTAGTTTCCCTTTTACATCTGGATTGAGTTCTATTCCGAATGAATTTTGATCTATCGGCCAAATGTTTTTTTTTCTCCAAAACCCTTTTAACTTTAAAAAGCTGTTTTTGACAATTAAAAAGTCTTTGTGGCTTTCCTTTGCTCATTAATTATAATGGGACACAAATGAGCAAAATGTCCCATCAACGGTTGGTTGACGGGTACTCTGACGTGGTTTGCTTCTTCTTTCTTTCAAACATCTTTCGTCGTTATCTCTCTTCCTTCTTTTTGTGTTTGTTTTTCTCTTGTAACACCCCTAAACCCCTAATCTCCAGCTCTTACATGACTTGATTGTGTTGCAAGTGTGGTAAAATGCTTACTAAAGCCTTTCATTTTTACTGTTTTGATACTTTCATGCACAGTTCACAGCTTGAGAAATCTGACATAAATTTTGGTATGCAGTTTAATGGGGTTGTTTTTATGAATGAGTCGTAGAAGCCTTCCACAAAGTAGACTAAAAAAATGTTGTCATGCAATTTTCGTCATTACATTACTGTTAAGCAGTTGCGAACCGAATGGGAGATGGTCGTATAGAGCAGAGGAGAACCCTGGTGATACAGGTGCTTCAATAAATACTGCATGTCCTCAAAGAAGGGATCATCTTGGCAAAGGGAAGTGCCATAAATCATACCAAAGCCCCCTCTTCTTTGTGGGTTGTCAATGGATGATGAAAGGCTAGCAGAGAAAACTACACAAACTGGCAGCAGGCAATGGGAAACCACTGCTGTAATCTGATAAACAAATATAATAGCGTTAACATGATCCAGCTATGAACTAATGAAAGAGAGAAGGCAGACAAAATCAAATGTGGACATGAAGCGAAAGAAGCATGGATAAATGATCACTGTCAACAAATAGAGAGAAGTCAAAACAAAGATAGCAAATACAGGGTGATCCAAAAAAAACCCCAAAACAGTACAACTTTTTTTCTAAATATCTCGCACAAAATTTGTACTAGAATGTTGGAATTTGGAACAGATATAATTCATTCAAAAGGAATTTGTTTGACATAAAATTCACAAAGAAGAAACTTACTTTTGAAAATGGAAATGGCATTTACACAAACCACCAATAATTGCAAAATTTAAAATTTAAAAGATCATGAGATGATTTGTTCGTATTTTCCTTTCATTTTACTCTTTAAATCTAATCTTTCCATCCCTGTAACCTTTAACAGTGTTTCTTTTCTCCTGCAGAGTTAAAAAATATTGTTTAAATTATGAAATTCCGAGAACTGATTGTTTATATGTCCTCATTTGGTCTCGACCCATTTTAATGCGTCGTTCGCAATGTTCAGTGGTGTCAAACACAAGGATCCACTCAACCATGAGTACTCGAAGTCACACACCTGGTACACCTCACAGTATGGAGCTGTTTCTAGATACAATGTAAGGGAGAAGGGGGTGAGGTTGCCCAGATAGACAGCATTTGTGGAGTTGATATAACCTGAAAGGTGAATATGGGCTTTGCGAAGGAACAAAATGTTATAGAAGAAATGTTCACGCTTTTCAAAACAATCGAGGTATCATGATCACATTGCTGTCCTCTGATAGCTTCGCATACGGGAAAATGGTACAGTCGTAGATGAAGATCTGCCCTGATAATGTGGACCGTTGAGATGTAGGAAAGTCATTGCTGCAGACATTGTCTATGGACAGACGTCTCATAGGGCTCATCTACTGAATTTTGCACCCTGGTGACGTTTAAAGGGGTGCGAACAGTGCATGTTTGACCTGAAGTGGTCGTTTTGTCTGGGAATTTTTAGTTCTGATTCTCTACAGGTCCTAACTGATGGCATTTGCACCCTCGACATCAAAAAAGGCCTTAATGGCTCTTAACATTATTTCCGTACCTTGGGCTAAACTTACGAAATGAGTTGGTGGTGAGGAATTTTTCAATACAAAGAGCTATCTGCTTTTTACTTATCTTAACCATGATCTCAGCAGGCTAAGGAAACTTGAGAAAAACTATCTGCAAACTTCTGTTGGCCTGTTAGACTACTGTAGTTTGCAATATTATTTATATGGCACTATCGCTGGGATTTTTAGTGGTATGCCTAATGCGAACTAGTGCGCCATGCTCAGCTGAAAATCGGTTGTTTTTTTGCACACTATGTAGAGCAAAACTATTCTGTGGATTTATCTAAAAGGAATATCAGACAAATTCATAGGCTTCCAAATGTGTACAAATTTGAAATGCAAAACTTCTTTGTAGAGGAAAATATTAACCAAAAAAGTTGTAGTTTTTATTGGATCACCCTGTACATTCATTCCAGAATCAAAGAAGTAAGTGGGATGAAAGAATGCTCAAATACAGAGTGCATAAGATCAAAAGGAAGAGATATTTTAATGGAAAAAGTGGATATCTTTGACAGATGGTCAGAAGACAAAAGAATTTTCAAAGACAATAGAGGAGAAAAACTGGTAATAGAGAAATAAATAAATGGTCCACCAATACTGAAAGCAGAAGTACAAGCTGCCATAAAAAAACAACGAAACCAGGAAAAGCCACAGGCCAGAAAATATCACAGTTGAAGTGATTGTCATTCTAGAAAAACAAGGCACTGAAAAAACAAAGCTCTTTAATTCTATCTATAACAGTGGTGATGTTCTAGAAGATGTGATAAAATCAGTTTTTATAGCTTTTCCTAAATCACCAGTTGCTTGAACTAATTGGAAGAATGAGAAAAAGTCAAAGACTAGAAATATCTAAAACACAATTTGTCTTTGGTCCTGACAAGAGCACAAGAAATGCTATATTCATCATAACAATGTTAATGTGGGCCGCTCACTGAAAAATAAAATAATTAGGAAAAGACAAATGCAGTTTCTGGGACACTTAAATAGACATAAAGGCTTTGAACATCTAGCTCTCACTGGCAAAATTGAAGGCAAACGAGGCTGGAGTAGACCCAGAGCAACCTACCTGGAGAGCCAAACAGATGGGTGATGGGGAAAGATCAGGATAATGTAGCTTTCTTGAGAACGTCAGAGCAAGGGAATAAATGGAGAACCATGATCACCAATGTCTGTCACAGATCTTTTACTTCGAGGTGGTGAACGTGACTTTTTAAGAAAAAAAAACATCTTCAAAAATACATTTTCAGTGTAAATTTCACAAATCCTTGAAAATATCAGTAGATAAATGGCTAAAAAAAACTATTGTTTGAAGGAACTCGCAGTTGACCTTAATTGTAGTGTAACTCAGTTCAAGAATATGTGTCTTTTGATACTTTTCTCCAGGCATGCAAGCATATTCATTCCAAAGTCTTTTTTATTTTCATTGTCATTGATTTATTATATTTTACTTTCATTTTTGTTCCTGAATTTGAATTTTTAAAATTACTTTTACAAACCTCTGTAAGTGGGTGGCAGGTAGTTGATTTATTATATTTTACTTTCATTTTTGTTCCTGAATTTGAATTTTTTAAATTACTTTTACAAACCTCTGTAAGTGGGTGGCAGGTAGTTGGTGTTGCTATTTCTTTTTACCTTTCTCTTCATGGGTGATTACAAATGAATGATGAGTTAGCACCTGGTACAGTTTGCTTCTTCTTCTTTACCATATGACTTTTTGCCAAGTTGTTTTCTGGGGAAATGTGGTCATCAGCATACTGACTCTCATAAACAGCAATCTATCTAAAGCTTTGTGGTGCACACTTTGTTGTACCACATTGTCCTGCTTTTTTTTTATAGTTGCTGTTCTCTTATTCTATGCTTTGATTTTTAAGTGACTTACTGTATTGTGTTCCTAGTGATGTAATGTACATATTCAACTAAAAACCTTTTATTTATTTCTCCATGATCTGTTTTGTGAATCTTCGAGTGTATGGTGGGCTCTCTAGAATTGTCGGTTACTTTTATTTGTATTCTCTGCTACTCTCGTCCTATCAGGTTCCTGAAAAATTGTTTGTTTGTATTATATGTTTTAGTAAACTACACCAGGGCAATGATGATAACAGCTCTTGACCCTTCACATCAGCATACACAAAGCATCGACTTAATGTTCTAACCACATTTTTAGGAAAAGTTCTGTTGCAAGCTGGCTCAATTCTGACTACTCATACAATAATTTATATGATCTTTTTATGAATTTAAGATGGAAACTTTAAGGTAAATAAAATAAATTAACGAGATCCCTTATTGACCAGAATTTTGAAAATCACTCCTTGCTGGTCAACATGATTGTGTTAATATCCTTTAATATGTCAGCTGATTAGACAGACTGAACTTACTATTTTTGAATATTGTTTCTAAAGACATACAGGATGCATGAGAAACCTTCAATGTATTGATGAATGTGCCACAGATGAAAGCTTTTTATGAAGAAGGCACACTTCATGCCAAGACACGATGCTGGGCCCAAGGTATGGATGGTTGGCGGCCTATGCAGTTAGTGCCACAGCTAAAATGGACTCTGCTGGCTACTGGTCAAGCTGCAATGAATGAGACAGACATGGCAACACTCATACTCAACATGCTCATCAGGATGGCTGAGTACTATCCTAGCAGGTTGGATTTGTGTCATGGGATACTTTTATAAAGCTTCCTAACAGTTTTTTGTACTCTCTTGCTGAGGGTTTTGTGCATTCAGTAAAGATTTCCACTTTCATATACACCTTCACGATCACATTACCATCATTTGATAATCTTTTTATTGTTATCTTCTTCATCAACTTCTTTTTCAAAAGGTCCACATCGCAAGTTAATGAATAACAAAACTCCATAGTATCTAAAGCCCCCGGGGCAGTGCCACTGACTGTAGTGTCTTTAGGCCATTCCCAAAGGAGGGACATTTCTCGTTCAAGCACAGTAGAATTGTAAATGGGCTGATTCATGTCACGCTCATAGCTGTGCCTGATCTACAACAGGGAACTGCTGCTTTTTCTTTCCTGATCTTTACAATTGTCATTTTCCTCTACTTCTTTTGTATGTTTGTCACTCTCTTGTGACCTGCTATTTTGGGGTGCCTTGATAGTCGAAGCAGACCTTATGCTGTTGAAGCTAGAGAGGTGAGCTGTCTAAGTCTGATTCCCTGTAAAGACTTCTCTGTTGACACCCACCCCTTGGCGCTCATATAACCTTATGCAGTTGCGAGCGCCGTAAAACCCTCTACTATGAAAAAAAAAATAGTATCTAAGACTATTTTCCTGCGCTTGAGCGTACCTGGTATGCCCTAATAATTAGACGCTGTGTTGTACCCAAACATGGTATGCTCTTGAAAACCCATGTTTTATTTTGTTCATATCTTCATTTCTACTCTGTTTTAAATTAAGGGAGTTGTATCGTTGTCTTCATTGTTGTCTTGCGGATGCCATCATGTCTATTTTTAGGCTTCTATATATGGGAATCGCCAGTGAAGGTGTCTTTAACTTATAACAAAAAGAGATGTGTAGTGTTTGGGGGGCAAAAGACAAAGCCAGCCTGTTAGAGTGTGCCTTTTTGGCGGAAAATGGATTTGTGCGTCGTAACTGTGTTGTGATATTGGGTTTCTATTATATATTTGTGGTGGCCGAATTTTGCTATTCAAAAGACGTTTTAATGGCTTCATCGATCAACATGCGGTTTTCGCCAAAATTTTTTAAACAATATTCTCCAGATCATGACGCCTTTGGTTTTTTCAGTTTTGATACAGTTTTGCTGCAAAAAGCTAAATTTCTTTATTTCGCCGGTCGCTTTTTGTAGGCCCACGCTTCTGTCTCTGTAATTTTAGAAAACCCGGAAGTGATATTTCGGGAGGCACATTTTGTTTTGAGAGTATAGATCTAGATCTAGACCTTCTTAGGCCAATGACTTTCAGTTGATGTTAATGCACCGATCATTCCTTTCATCGAAAGGGGTCCCAGCTAGTTTTTATATAAAAGACCTGACTGTCTCGTCAAACCACTTTGAGAATGTTTCTGTAGTATGGATGAAGGAGCAAGGAAGTTATTTCAAGAAAGAAAAAAAAAACTATCTTTGAATTGAACATTGATTGCTCTTTAATTTGATACTTTTCTATATCTAGGGCTTATAGTAAGCAAGATTGGCCCTTCAAAGAAGGGAACTATGTCAAACACAGCTCCTGTTTTTCTTAAATGGGGATGGGCAGGTCGTTAGCAGACAAGGGGTTATAAACCTTATTGAGTCATACACATCCTTGAGGCATCAGAGATCTTGCGGATGAGAATCTTAATGAGAGTTCCCATTGTAAAGTCAAGTAAGTTGGATGGAAGAGCTGTCAAAGAGAACACATAACTCCTTTATTGAATGAAGCTAAATTTGCTGTCAGTTGAAGCTAGAACACAGAATTCTACACTTATAGAAACGGAACTCCCTCTTTGCGATCGCTGATTCGCTGTGAGGCATTGAAACTAAAACATGGCGGCCAGTTGAGGGCACCTTTGGCTGCGCCGCACAGCGAGGCTTCGCGTTGCTATGCACGCTAATGCTAGTGGTAGGGCTTGGAAGACACCTTACATCAGTATTTTAAAACTTTCTTCGAAGAGGAAATATAGTGAAATAGTCTAGTACATTTTTATTGCCAACAATATGTCATAATTGGCAATGTTACAATATTTTTGTATTTGTATTGTTGTTTTTTGTTTTTTTTAAATGATGGGATGGGATCTAGATCTAGATAGATCTATATCTCTAGATCTACTAAAGATCTTCACAATCACAATACACTTGATAATAACACTAATTATGAAAATTAATTCTGTTGTCAAAATACCTAGATATAGTCTTGATTAGTACTAGATATACGATAAAGGGGACGCTGACAGTAACATGCTCACTACAATAATATTGTCATTAAACTTAAGGCCATCCAAAGCAAGCAAAAAAGAACAATATAAGCCTTTCCTCCAATTTACTAGAAAGTGATAAATAAATTGAGCTTATATTGAGGAAATGTATTATTTTTCACTTTAAGAATTCATCTCTTAGTTTACATCAGTAGTGTGTACAACAACATGCTTTGTTTAAAGCACGTGTGAGTCTAACAAATACAAGAGATTGGAGAATGTGTCGGTTGCACATAAAATACATAGGCCTTGTACATGGTGCCAAAAACACAAAAATGCAGAAAAGACCTCAAAATATTGGTTTACACATAAAAGCCAATAATTCAAAACAAAGTAAACAATTAGAGTGGAACTGGCATATGTTTCCTGAATATATGTTCAAAGTCATTTTCTGTGTTTTGGGAGTGTGATTTCTAATGCATGAATGATAGGCTCATTCAGATGTGATAATGAAGAAACTTGTGTCTACAGTCACAACAGAAAGAGTTCCATGGTGAGTGATCACTGGTCAAGGATTTCAGAGCTGTGTGCATTTTGAGAAAAATGTATCCCCATACCCTGGATCACATGTCGAGGGGATGGGCTTGTCCCCCTGTAATCCCGGCACACAGTAAACAAACACATATTTTGAACACGAAGAAGAAAAAATAAGTGGTCTCTTGTTACGGATCAAATTGAAGTCCTGTTTCAATTCGATTAATTGATAAAAGTGCGTATCGCAATGCGTTGGCCACCCCTGCCCTATAGGCCTATGCTATTTAATAAATACATTCGTCAGACCTGGAATCTTTAATGCCTGCACACAGTAAACAAACACACATTTTTGAACATGTATAAGAAAAAATAAGTGGTGTCTTGTTACGGATCAAATCGAAGTCCTGTTACAATTCAATTAATTGATAAAAGCGTGTATCGCAAGGCATCGGCTAACCCAGCACTATTACGCTATTTTATAAATACATTCGTCAGATCTAGAATCTTTAATTTTTAATCCCTGCACACAGTAAACAAACACACATTCATGAACACGTATAAAAAAATAAGTGGTCTCTTGTTACGGATCAAAAACAATTATGAAAGTAACATAATTAAAGTAGGACTACATGTGCTTATAAAGGCCCAAAAAGGTGTATGGATGCGGAAATTAATGTTTCGGATGAATATAATATGCTATTTCTACTACTGTAGCGTGCGGTCAAAAATTTGTCGCGCAACTTATTATCAAATATCTAGGCTACTGAACTATCGAACACCTAGATCTAGATTCTCCTACTTTTACACAATGACTTGGATCTATATCAGTTCGTCTTAACCGATGAGTATTTTTTTCAAACATTTGTACACATCTCTATAGGTTCTATATTATTCTAGAAATTTCTTTAAAGAAAATTCTTTAATAAATACTAACCCAATATAAAAAAAAAAATCCCAGTCAATGGTTTCTACAGATTTTTAAAAAGTTTGTAGCTGAAGCTAAATCTCTTTTAAAAGCAAGTCCGACCTTTTTTCTACTTCTGCTGGCGACATAAAGCTAATTATTGAACGCATGTTTTGAGAACATTAATTAGATCTAGTGAAAAAATATGTTCAGTGTAAAACAAATTTCTTGTAACAAGTTTTGCTACTAAAAATTCCGTAGGCCATATGCGTATGCTAAATGTGTGTGGGAAGCTAGAAGTGCTGTGAACAATCCCATCCATGTTACAAATTTTTTCACAGTTCTGTAGATCTTATATTTATAAACTCTCTATGTCTGCTTTTTCTGTTGTTGCACCCAAAAACACAACAATTTAAAACCTTAATTCCAATCTCTAGGTTGCACAGTGAATTCTGTAACTCAAAATTACAAACTGGGCAGTAAATATTCCACTTTTCACTCGTTTGTAAAAGCCGCTCTTGCTTTAAAAGCTATAGGGTTACTTCCGAAAACGATAAATCGTGCCCTCAAGACGCCATTGTTTTTGGTCTTCAATTCCTCACAGGTCACGTGGTACAGTTCTCGTTCTATAGGTGTAGAATTCTGTGAGCTAGAATTAATTACAAAATTTTTTTTTGGAGCCACGTGTGGCATCGGGGCCAACTGGTAAGCCTCTCAGGCTCGCAACATTAAGTGCCTGGCCTACGACGGGGGTGGGGTGGAAGGGGACCAGCTCTCTACAAATCAACGCAAACAGACTTCTTCTTAAGTTCCCCAACTAGGCCGTAACAAGGGTAGGAAGGACTCTATAGCTCTTCAGAGCAACCAGTCTAGAAGAAGGAAACTCATACACAGCGGAAGTCAAACACTTATGACCATAACTCGAACAGTCTGTTAGAAATGGAAGGGGGGAGTTCCAAATGTGAAATCACAAAAGGCCTTATTTCGCCCTAACTTTACTATTTTTACTTATTTTCCCATGTTTACCAACGAATTTTCATGAAGCTTGGCATACAAAAGCCGAGCTGCATGCTATGCACGAACATGGATTTATTTTTTAGGTTTATATAACCACACCATATCTTTTTGTTTTTTAACGTTTAACATTATTATCTCAATCATGTGTTTACCGCCAATAGGTAATTTAAATGTAAGTTAATTGCATAAACAACATAAATTCTGAGTTTTTATTGTTGAGACGTTGAATTTGATACTAAACACGACCATATTTGAGCTATTTTTAAAGATGACCTTGACACTGACCTTGCCCTAAAACAATCTTTAAATGCTAATTAAGTGATAACTATTCGGTCAATTTTAAAAATAAAAGTATTTTTGAGTTTCATTTGACTATCTCTTTCATTCTGAACAAATAATGGCATATTTTAACGAATTCGAAAATTGACCTTTTTGACCTTTTTTTAGGTTAAAATTAAGCATGTTCCCCAGGGGTGATTTTTGTTGAATTTTTTTTGGTAGTACTTAACGGTTCAAAGTTCAAGTTGGCGTAAAAATTTGGTTGTTATCTTTCATGTATGGGTTCGATGTCAATTTTTACTGGCCTATTAAGCTTTCTATTATAATTAATTAGGATGCTTGGACATCTGAAGATGTCAAAAGTCACTTGTGTGGTGGTTTGGCTTTTTCACCCTAGCATTTTTGGGGGGATTGCAAATTTCCTAGCTTTGCGTGTTGCTTTGTCAAAAACTGTATTTCTGTTGGCTGTGAAGTTTAGAATCCTTTGTTTGCATAATGAAGTCTGCACTGGAATTTAGGTTGGGAGAAATTGATTTGTGTTTCCTTTTGTAATTTTTTTACAGAGATACCGATGGTGCTATTATTCGACCACTTCCAAAGATCAAACGAATCCTCTCAGATGCTACTTGCTTACCTCACATAGTCCAGGTATGTCTTTGGTCTTTTCTTTCTATGATTATGTTTTTTAATGATGAAGTCATGCTTTTTTAAACTCTAATAGTTTGTTTGCTGTACCTCAGTGTGCTAACTATGACTGTCGCAAATAAAAGTCAGAATGATTGCACGTACCTTATACTTAAATTATACAGTCGAACTTGTGTAAGATGGAATAGCAAGGGAGCCAAAAAAAAATTCTGTCTCAGACCCTTCACATCTCTCAAGTGTTATCCTAGTCTCTTTAATATTGGCATGCATCTGTCTCATTTATCCATTGACCTATTAAATACAGAAATGATTGAACATCACCTTTACTTCCACCTGCAGTCCCACCCATCAGTTTAATAAGCACAGTCAACCAGTTCCACCTCTTCCGTGTATGTAACAATAATTGAAGAAACTTTTTTCTCTGCTGACCATGCGATCAGAGCGGCAGGCATTGGTCTAATTAATATCACGCCTGTGGCCTCTTGATACCCAAGAAAGTTTCCATGCTGGAGCACCACTCGAGTACTTCCTCAGGCACTGGTGATGATTTCACATGGATGAGGCAAACCTACTCCCCTTCCTCACCTGGTGGCATAGTGTAAAGATTAGAGCTGCTTGAACCAAACTTGATAGTTTTTTTTTCTCCAAAGGAAAGGAATTTCTCTTTCGTTTCTGTGTCAAGCAGTTTCCTGTTTAATAGTGGTAGGCTTGTAATATATATAGAGAAATCTATCAAGGGAGGGGCGAGTAGATTCTGTTAATACAGGTTTCAGTCTTATACAGGTTTCTGTAAGGCCTGTATATTATGTTATGACTTTGACAAATGAAGTTCAGAAGATTTGGAAATCAAGTTTCATTCTACCGGCATGAGTTTGGGCATCACTGTAGAGAGAACTGAATGGAGAATTTAAAATCAATACCATTCGCTCCTTCTAGGTCTAGGTTTACCAATATTGGACCTGTTCTACCGCCTACCGCCATACCGATAAAGGTATCAAAACTATTGGACTAGCGATGGGTGTCAAGATTAAAAGAGAAAAAATTGCCCCTCTGTAGTGCTCCCAATCTTCCCTGTTTTTACAGAAATCTGCACCTTCCAAAAGTTCCCTACTTGCATTATCATTATGTGAAACTCCATACGAAAGAGAGAGAGAGAGAGAGAGGGGGGGGGGGGAGGGGGGGGGGAGAGAGAGAGAGAGAAAGAATATTGGCTATCGGTATCCCATAGCAAAGAATCCGTACTTGCCCCTCTAATTTCTTGGATATATACGGTCACTGCTCACTGATCGCATAATCCATGAGGGTTGTAAGGGTGCTGTATGACAAAGCCTGGTCAGGTGCCTCCACTTTTCATGTTGTTGTTTTTTTTTGCTTCGGCCTGAGTTTTGGCGAAAGATTTTCCTGTCCACTCCTCAATATTGTTGGTCCCCCTCTTCCTTTGCCTTCCTCTCTTTATCCTTCTCTGCACAGTTCCCTGAAGAATGGTCTTGGATAGGTCACACGATCTCATGAAATGGCCATACCATTTCAGTTTTCTTTGTTTCACAGTAGACAGCAAGTCTTCTTAATGCCTCGTGCTTAGTTTTACTCTACTGCGCACTTCCTCATTTGTGACATGGTCAGTGTATGAGATGTCAAAGAGTCGTTAAAAGCATCTCATTTAGGCTGCTTGGATCTTCCTCTGAAGCTCTGCCGTCAATGTTCATGAATCACCAGCATACAGAAGGATAGAGATAACGAGGGCATAGTGTAGTCTTGAGTTTGGAATTGACTGAGATGTTTCTATCTTTCCATATTGGTGTTAGTTGTATAAGCGCCCCTGTTGTTTGTCTGTCCCTGCAGAAACATGCAAATTTAGATGGCCAAATTATGCAAGACAAAAATGCGAAAATTATGCAAGTTACGGTAACGCCACTTACAACATGTTTTACACTTTTTTTGACAAGAATTTTCCTTTTTTATGTACAGAAAAATTGAAAAACAGAACATATCAGTATCAGTAATTTTTCTGTCCTTTTGGAAAGACACATCAGTCAGAAAAAAAAATGTAATGTCTGTAACTTTCAGCTGTATAGAAGAAAGAAAAAACAAGGACATCTGGACCAGACCAACACACCAGAAAAGACAAATATGTATATATTTTGTGTGTAATTGTATGTAGTAGTGGTGATGTGCTGATAGACATGCTGATTTTTAAAAAAAGAAATCGTCTCAAAACTGACAATGCATCTTATAGGCTATTATAGTGGTGATTGTGAAAATAGACTAGCCTATCTAAGAACAATCTTAGTACGGGTAGACCTACTTATAAAAAAAGAAGAAATACAACAATGTTTGAAAGGGCTTAGCATCAGTACTTGGGGATTTGAAATCTGAAAATGTCAAGAGCAGAAAATCAGTTGAAAAAGTCACGACCAACAAACTTGTTGTAGAAGAGAAACAAGCCTTTTAATGGATTCCTCACTCAAGCTGCTACGTCTTTCACTGTACACCAGGTTGTACATAGCAGTAAAAATCTGTCACTCTTTTGACAGTAAAAATAAAAATGTTTTGGGTGAAAATGCTTTTAAAAAAGTGAAAAAACACTGGAAATCTAAAATTATGCCAATGTTGTAGAATTATGCGAAAAAACGCAGCTACGCTGCAGCCGCATAATCACATAATCCGACGAGGACAGGTTTGTGCAATTCTTACTTAGACTTCTGGTTTGGATCCTTCTTGGCTGATGATAGCACCAAAGTCCGTGAACTGGTCAACTGTTCCGAGCTGTTGACCACCGACCGTAATTTTGCTTTTGATGGGTTTGTCACTATTTCTTATCATCTTTATTTTCTCTGCTCTAATTTCCATATAATATCTGGTTGAAATTTCATCCAATCTTTTCACCAGTCTGGCTAGGTCTTCATTTCCTGCGAGTCCGTCAGTGTCGTCAGCAAACCTCAATATATATGGTTATTACGGGTAATTCTCGGCAGTGAGCTGTATTAGAAATGTGTCAGATTGCGCATTTTACACACTCGACTATTGTCCCTCTGGACATCAACTATAGGTTTACAGGTTGGTCAGTAATACGTTTTCACTTGCAAATCAGCTAAAATCTGGCTAGTTACGATAATTAATCTGCCTCTTTCCCTTCATTTACTCATTCTTTCTATCTTCAGGATTTTGCTACAGCTGGAAAATCTGTGTGTTGATCTATGAATCTAAATTGCGAAGATGGAAAGAAAAGTAGTATGGGAAAGAAACTTTTTTACAAATCTGTCTAGTTCTAGAAAATTTGTTAGTATGATTGTAAGATAAAAAAGTAAGTGGAAGTTGTGCTCTGAAGTTGTGACTTTCGGCCATAGAATACGTGAATGGAGGAAAATTAGAGTAATAAGCTTAGTGTATTATCGAGATTGATGTCCTCGGATTTGTGTAGCCTACTGTCAATGGTATGATGACAAATTCCCAGAGCTTGCTTGGTTAGAGCTGAGAGGAATACTAGTAAAAATATCTAAGTCACACAGGACTTGTCAATGCCCTTAGATTGGTATGCTATTGTCGGAAAATGTTATAACATAGGTTTAAAAAAATATGAACTAAGGTTTTGAAGTCAGGTTGGCAGTAACCCAAGCACTCAAATCCATATTTAATGCTGTTTTTGACTACGTACCTACCAGTAGCGGGTATATGCTACGGACATCCTGGAAAGACAGGATGAAAACTCGGAGTGACGGGTTGATATCGGGAAAGACCGAGGACATCTGGAAAGACCGACAGTGGCAGGGGCTAACTACCCAAGTCGCTGTAAGCACAAGTTTCGTCAACCACTAGAAAAGACAGCCCCTGAATCCACCGAGAGGGGGAAGTAGAGGATGGATCCTCTAGAACGAATACAATGGACAATGACTTAAGCGTTAAAAGGACAATGCTGGAAGAAAACCAAGAGAACAGCTTTATGTGCGAGCAGTGCTACAGAAAGTTCGATACCTGGCAAGGGCTGAGAGTTCACCAGGGAAAAGTCTGTTTGAGGAAGAGAAGACAGTGCAGATCAACAGATTGTAAGACGCGAAGCAAATCATCCCAGGATAAAAACCGCAGGGGAGCTATTAGTGCTTCAGTCGACTCTCCTTTTACCCTATCTCAGCATGAGATGGAACAGCAAACTAAGGAACCAGGGTTACGGAAACCCAGAATACTGTGGCCTTCTGCTAACAAGAAGGCAAAGTACAAGATGTTAGAAGAACAAGTCCAGAAGAAACTGAAAGAAGTCATAAATTTCTGGCACAATCAGTAGAAGGACCCTCTGCAACATTTTGGAGAGAGCAACGGAGCATCAATGGACATGTCCGGAGTGCAGGGATGTTGCTTCCTGAAACAAGAACAAGAACAAGAACAGAGATGATGCTGAAGAAACCTTGAGTGCGTTTGCAACCGTTATCTATGATTCAGCGATAAAAGAGTTTGGTATTTGTGAAGGAAAGAAAAAGACAGAGAAGAAAAGTGGATTGAGTAGAAGGCAGAGAGTACTTGCACAGCAAAGAAAACAGAAACGAGACTTGCAAAAGCAGAAAAAGTATGCACCACCAGAAGAGATAGAAGACCGGAGAATTCTGTTTGAAGATCTTGAGAAAAAGAGCAGAGACCTGCAGAGGCACGAAAGAAAGTGTACCAAGAGAAAAGAGAGGAAAAGGGAACGTGAACAGTTTCTGAAAAATCCTTATGAAGCAGCAAAAAAACTGTTCACAGAGGCTCGGAGTGGTAAGTTGGAATATATGAAAGAAGAACTCGATGCTTAAAAAGCAGACGTACAGCGATCCAAGAAGAGAAGAACTGCTTGATATGAGAGGCCTGAAGCGTCCAACTGCCCCTGTGGTCAAATATTACCTTCAACTACCTCTCACGTCAGTCGTGAAGTCTACAAAGCAGGCAAGATTAGAACCGTTATGCTGAGAGAATCAAGGGATAAGGAGATCAGCGGAAAACCTCCAGGTGTCAAAACAGCGAGAAAGTGGAAGGCAGGAGTTGCAACTGACGAGATCATCTCTACTTTGGAGCATGGCGACATTGTTGGTCCAGCACAACCTGGCAGATTAGGGCTAGGTAATGGCAACTTTAGACCTTTCAGGAAAATGTCTCAGCGAGACAGAAGAAAAGCTGAAACAAGACATATGCAAAAGATGGAGGCAGAGAGGCGAATCTCATCCAGTGTAGCCAGCAAGGACAAATGACCAGATGGGATGAGCATATAGACGAAAGAAAAGTCGGTTGGAGTGACATCTGGAAGTGGAATACATCTAGGCTAAGCTTTCTTCTCTGGTCTTCATATGATGTTTTGCCTTCACCAGTGAACTTGGTCAGATGGAAGGTACAGGAGGACAAAAAGTGTAGATGCGGTAAGCTAGGAACCATGAAACATATTTTGTCAAACTGCAATCTGGCTCTTAACAGGTACACCTGGAGGCGCTATGAAGTGCTGAAAGTGCTCACCACAATGGCGACAAAACAGGTGGAAGAAGGAAAATACGCCCCCAAGCTGCAGAAGCATGGACTCCCCGAGATTGCGTTTGTTCCGCAAGGAAGCAAGGTTCCCAACAGAAAGAAAGCGAACGAATCCATGGAAGACCAGAGTGGAGGCAATTGGGAGGTAGCTGCTCACTTAAAGGGCTTTGAGAGATTCTTCCCCTCCCAACTACAAAAAAGCCAGACTTGGTGTTATGGGAGGAAAAAGAGAAAGAGGTGCACCTGGTGGAGCTCACGGTGCCCCAGGAGGACAATATCTATGCCGCAAACGAGCGGAAAGAAAACCGATACAAGGCTTTTGTCGAACAATGTGAGGAGGCAGGATGGAAAGCAACCCATTTTCCGGTAGAGGTAGGATGCAGAGGTTTCGTAGCAACTAGCACAAACTTATAACTCTCTTCAGAAGACAGTAGAGAAAGCCAGTCACTGGATCTGGTTGAAGTGAGAGGACGCAGGCTGGGATGAATCCTAAGAGTTGGCAGCAGAGGAAAACAGTCGGACTAGCATGGAGACCTCACATCGGTGAGAGGGCTCGGTACGTCAGAAAAGCTGTAGAGAGGAAGAGCCTGAAACAGCGATGCATTCTCTTCTGATGATCTCCAGGCTACGGAGCGTCCCGCTGTGAGCAGTGCATACGGCTGTTTTAGACTACATACTGATAGGTTCCTTGAATGACAGTCCATAAATGCTTACAAAAAACACATTTCGTTTCATCAATACTGTTCGCCTTCACATATTCACACCCCCCCCCCCCCCCCACACACACACACACACGCACGAGCACACACACACACTCACACACAAATATTCATGCGCCCACACTCAGACACACACACACACTCACACACACACACACACCACACTCACACACACACACACACACACACACACACACACACACACACACACACACACACACACACACATGTACGTGCACACAAGTTTTAAAGTTGCAGTTACCTAATATGAAAAGCAAGCCCCGTTCTATGGTAACTATGTGTAGCGGGGTAACATTCATCTTTGTTTTCCTTCTTTGTCTTTGTACTACCTGATTTTTTTACCAAAATACCTGAAATTGACCCTGAATTTACCGGAAATAGGAACTTTATGAGGTAGGCGGCCCTGTTAAAAAATCAGAATATGCTCTGTTTAAATGCAATTATTATTATTGCGTTTTTGTGCATTCCGTAAGGAGAGTGTTATGGGCTGTTTTCAGCATCTAGTGCCACAAGTTGACTTGGTAGTTTGAACAGGATTGTGTGAAAGTCCTGTACTGTGTTAGTCAATAAATCAGTCGAGACTTACCTGGCTCTTTTTTTGGTATAGAAGCTGTTGCTCTTCATGTTGCAGTTTTTTATTCATTTTTAAAAATATTTTTGTTTTTTGGGGGGGGGGGGGGTGTATAACTCTTCTTAAAAATCATTGTTATATCTTTTTGTTAATGTAGCCATCATTGATTAATTACAATTGCGTTGTCAAGAAATTAATAAGATAATTGACATTAGACCCAAAGGATGACACCAGACAATCACAGAAATGAACCGACAACTATACAATCACAACACTGATTTTTCTTTTTTTACCCCTCCAGCTCCTGTTGACCTTTGATCCTGTGCTAGTGGAGAAAGTGGCATCGCTGCTGTTCCTTGTAATGCAGGACAACCCAAGTGTGTCACGCCTCTACCTGTCTGGCGTGTTTTTCTTCATCATGATGTACACAGGATCCAATGTGCTGCCTGTCGCACGCTTCCTCAAGAACACTCACATTAAGCAAGCATTCCGCTCGGAGGAGGTGGGCTCTCACATCTTATTCCATTTTTCATAATGCCTGATTTATTACCATTGCAAAAGATCCTAGAAGTACTCGTTCAGTTATTTTCTTTGAAATGACTAATCTGTTACCCTTCAATAAAGGCCTTGGGCTTGGATACTTTCCAGATTTTTTTTTTGTGATGGAGTAAGAAGTGTTGCATGTTAAATAGTAAATATTCAAGATTATGTAACAATATTCCTCACCTGAATTGATTACAAAGTATTGTTTTTAAAGAGTTGTACCCATCCCAAGAGCGTATATTCCAATGATTGTGACTTCTTTTATTTTTAAAAAACGAAATGCAATGTTATGTGCCAAACGCATGAACAATGGGATGTAATTGCATGACAAATTTACTCTCTCTTGTGTTATATAAAGTAATTTCCTAAACAATGCATTAAGAAACAAGAGATGTCCCTCTCTTCTCCAGAACACGACGTCTGATGTGTTGGCTCGCAGTGTCCTTGGTCCCATCCTGCCTGAGGCTATGGTCTGTTACCTGGAGAATTACTCTCCTGACAAATTTGCACAGATTTTTTTGGGAGAGTTTGATACCCCAGAGGCAATCTGGAACAGTGAAATGAGGTGAGATTTCCTTGGTTTGAGTATTGGCTGTTTTCTTTGACTTGGGCAATTAAAAACACAAACGGTGGATTTTGAAAATGAAGCTGAAGATATTGTTTTATTATTTTTCACTGTTATTTCCACTTTATTGTACTACGGCTGGCCCTTTGTACTACCTGAAGAGGCTTAGGGACTATTTACCAGTTTCTTTTCACGAAATGAATTTGTTTCCTTGGTCACACAGCTTAGTCTTCACATCTGTCTTATAATATCAATTTTTAGAGGACACACTTTGACAAAAAGTGTTACAGTCGGACTGGTATACTACTCTTAATGAGTAGCACGATTGCTCTAAAAACTAAAAATTAGTCAGATGATGGTTATTCAAAGTATATATCGTTAGTCGCCTGATAAAACCGTGAATTCCACAAATTTTCCCTTTAACCATTGTCCTGCGGGAGCCGGGTTTATGTCACCCGATAAGCCTATTTCGGCACCTCGCCTACTTACTGGTCCGGAATCAGTGTAGCCCCTGGCTCAGCGCATGCGCACCGCGCATCATCTTACGTGAAATTCGGGTCCCGAGTCGGATCCCCATTCACTCAGGTCAAGTGTGTGTGCGTCAGTCTGCTTGAGTTTGTGTGTGTTTGTGGCTTTCTTCTAGAACCGCCTGCGTTGGTTTGTAATCGAGGCATATGTCTCATTCAAAACGCGCCAAGTTGGTAGCTCTAGATGTTCGTCCAATGAAATTATAGAAGAAATTGACCCACTTAGACATGAGGAGCTCGAAAGGATAGTCAGGAAACAAGACTTCCATTTTTCAATACAAAATCTTTCAAATGAGCTTGATTTTGTATCAAATGATACTACCTGATAAAAGCGGCCTGCCCGGCATGTCTGACGTAATCGGTTGCTGATAAGATTCGCATCTCGGCACAGACGCAGGACAAGAGTTAAAACTATTTTTCTATTATCTCAACTCAAACGTGTAATCTGACGTAATATGAAAATCTTGAATAAACATTGTGGCCCAAAAGTTGCCTGATGGTGCCGTGAATCCCACAACTGTATGGAATTTACAATCTCATCTGTCGGTGTTTGACTCACGGGGCTGATCGTTGGCCCCGTGAATGCCTCTGGAGACCATTGAGATATAGGTGACTTCGTTGAGCAAACATGATGGTCGATCAGTAATCATGGTTTCCAGGCCATATAATTATAATTTATTAATAATAATAATAGATAGCATTTGTATAGCGCCTATCCCCGCTCAGCAGCAGGCTCTATGCGCTTTACACTATATTATGTCGACAGCATGCGTTTTGCTGGAAAAACTCTCACATGATTTAAATGTTTGTTTCTCAGATCATCTTCATCATCATTGCCTTTCTCACCCACAGCTGATAAAATACCGTCCAGACCGCTCACTTAGTTTTTCTTCCCCGGTTTCTCCCCGACCATCCTCACCACCCTGCCCGCCCCCGCCCGACAGCCCAGCACGTAGTCATAAATCACTTGTCAGAGGGGTTAATTGGGGTGACCGCAACGACACTCCTCCTGTGCCGGGGCAGTAGTAAATATGGTGTTTTAGTGCGAATTGAAAGCCTCCTAACTCTGAAACTATAAATGCTACAAGGCCGATTGAGATTTCATTGTAACGTGCTATGTTTGACCTGTAAGCCGGTATAACTTGTTTTCTTGTAAGTCCGATTATATCAGTTTTACAACGGATTTAAGTAAGTCTGTGATTTTCAAACTGGCATCTTCAATGTTCAGAACTTTTTCAGTTTGGATTTAAATATTTCAATCTGGCCCCCAACGATTTAAACAGAAATTCATGTATCAACTGTGGTGACAATTTTCATTTACATGTGCAAGTTTCAAGTGCACTAAGTTATTCTATGATTTTCTGTGATTTTTAAAAAATACCAACCCAGCACTCTAAACATTCTTCCTTGCTGTTTTTAATTTTCTTGCCTCTACTACATCTGATTTTCGATGTCATTTTTAACAATATTTTTGTCATGGAGTGCCACACTCAACATGATCATATGGTGGGCATTGTGCTCAAACATCATCGCCTTCTTGAGAAGGCTGCACATGATATAGATGTACAGCTGGTCCATCAATCTATGGAGAATTGCGCTCCTGGAATAGGACAAAATGTGCATATCTACGTCAAAAAATGAAAGAGGGCTGGAAAAAAACGAAGAGGACATTCAATTGTTACAGGGCTGTCAAGTTTTGTCCAATAATCCATGAGAAGCAGGGAGATTTGAGAAGGAGGGTTCTAGTGTACATGATCAGCTGTTAGAGTTTGAGGAGCTTATTCCAAGGTCAAGTCCTGCCTACTCTGAATTTGATAACATCCTCAAACAACACAACATCACACCACAGGCCTACCACAGCCGTTCATTTATAGGAAACCACTGCCATAAATACATCACAGCCCATGTGTACAGACAGCTAGCATCATTTTTAACAAAAAGAACAGTTGCATGTACACGAAATAAAAGCATAATAGACACCGCATTAATTGTTCTGAGAGAGAAATTTGTTCACGTAAAAGACACCTTCAAAGATATCCACACAGTAATTGCACATGGAAAGCCAATCACTTTAGAGAGAATACCACATATTCAGTCATGCATCACACGATATATGTCTTTATAGATATGTCTCAGATCATCAAGTGACAAAACAACCCTTGTTAAGCCTAAAATAAATTACAAATCATATGGCCAACGCTCTTTTTCATATTTTGCCCCACTTGTTTGGAATAGGCTTCCAAAAACTATCAGAGAAGCAGAAAATCTAGAAATTTTTAAGAAGAAACTAAAATCATTTCTATTTTCATCATATTTCGATTAGACAGAATGCATCCAAGCTGTAGATCGTTGTGAGTTTGTTTGTGCGTATGTGCATATGTACGTATGTGTGTATGTGAGTATGTATGTGTGTGTGGTGCGTGCGTGAGTGAATATGTGTTTGCATGAGTATGTAACACTATGTACCTTTAAAATTGATATATATCATGTTAAGCGCATAGAGCATTGCATAAGTGGATATGCGTTATATAAATGCAATACATTATTATTATTATTATTATACAGAAACATATTAGGCAAATAAAAGGTCTTGAGTCGATAGTGCCGTAAAACACGTGCTACTCAATCAAAATCAATCAAAAGAAAAGGTCATCCCCAAACAACACATCCTTGAGAAACACTGCGTTCCTTGGATACAAAAATGTGGGTTTGGAATGGCCTTCCATGGTGAGCAAGGGGGTGAGCTCATTCATGCAACCGAGGCCAAGCTGGAAAGACGAGTAGCAGCAATAACAGACAAAGAAAAACACGTCAAAACAATCATGCGGTCACAACACGTCCAAACCCACCCTGAGCTACTCTGTCGTGTGCACCACCCATCAAAAGACATAGTAAAATAAAGAATAGCTTTCTGTTTCACTCAGTCTGTTAATTTCATACTCAGTTTTAAATTGGTGGTTTAAAATCTTTTTTATTACAGTATTGTCTGCTTTCATAATATTTTTTATGTATGAGGGCCTCTAATAAGAGAAAACACAATGCCTTATAACTATGAATACAACTTGGCATTTCATAAAGCCTACTGATAACTATGAATGCAACTTGGCATTTCATAAAGCCTACTGATAACTATGAATGCAACCTGGCATTTCATAAAGCCTACTGATGAAATTGTGAATTCCACATTCATGACCACATCATGTGATTTTCGAAAATACAAATCGTGAATCTCAGTTTTTAAATGAATGAACGTCTACGGTAAAAAATTTACTTTACTACGAGGGACGTCCAGAAAGTAAGTACTGTTTTAAAATAATTATAAAAGAAATAATTTTCCCGATCAAAACGATTTATTTTTTAATACCTGCTGGTCTATATCAGTCATAAGAGGGAAATTTCACATCTGAGTTTACATTATTTTAAAAAACTATCACCTTTTCCCTAATTTAAAACAATAATTAAGTAAATATGACCATGTTTAACAAAAATATTTTTAAAAACTTTTAATTGTGCGAGGTGAGAAAACACGAAAAGGAGAAAATGGCCTCCGAAGTTGAGCTAAATGTTTCCATAGCAATGGAGGTCTTAGAATTGAGGTACGGACTTGGAAATTTAGTAGTTATCTTGACTATGCCACTACAAGGTCGCATACAGAAGTAGAAAACTATTCATTCACAGAGAAAAAACTTATGGACAAATAATTTTCACGAGAATGGACTTCATGTCAAATGCAACAAAATATTAGCTTTATACTAGGTACCAGGTACTAAATTTTCAAAGTAGCTGTATGTCAAATTCATCTGTTTCATATGAAAGGCCTTTGTCTCCTGAGAATTTGGGTACCATACTTTTACCTGTCAGTCAATTACATGTTTAAGAGAATGGCAGCTGCTTCAATTTAACATAATATTGCTGAAGTCGCTAACTGGCTGCAACCCCATGATTGACAGATAATAAAAGAGTACCAAGTGCACCAAGCATCTCTACATTAACAGAGTACAATCATTATAAAAAAGAAATGAACCTAATTTGTTTCAAGACTGTGAGATCATTACAAATCAGTATTTTATTGCTTCAAACAAGATGATCTGTCGTTATTTCAATAAAAACATAGAGCGTTGTTCCGGCCGGCGTTGCACCAGCCCTCGCGGCGAGCAAGTTGACTTGATACTGTAGTACACTGAGTGCTCCCCGGAATTTCGTGGAAGGGTTCATACAAAAGAATTCCAAGCCGATGACTTTATTCTATTAGAAAAAGAATGGTTCTTTCTATTGGTACCTTTTTTAGCCGTTATTTTAAACATTTCGTATTAAAAATGATCTTTGGTAACTTTTTTTTTCAAAGTTTTCTATCCAAAGGTAAAAAATAATAACCACAGGAAATCACGCTCAAAGCTGTATACTTCTCCGACAATGAAAATGAAAAGGCGATATTTAATCATCAATCTTTCTGCAAAGCATTCGAATGCATGGGAGTCATTTTGAACCGGCCGACCTCGCATTCGGACCGCAAGGGGCTTCCCTTTCCATGGTAATTCTCTAGCTCCAAATAATCAGATATACAAACAACTTACACCATTGTAATGAAAAAAGTCTGAACTTTTTCAAAGTGTTCAGCATTTATAGCAAAAGAGCAAAGAAACAAGGGATCTGAATTACCCCCATTTTACTGAAACCTCGAACTCGGAAGTCCGTAAGTCGGCTTACGTGCCGTGTTTACTCTACCTAATTATACGTTTGCAATAGTACCATAAACACACGAGAACACACACACACACACTCACACACACACACACACACACACACATATACAAATACACACGCACACACACATGCAAGCACACCAACACACATGCAAGCACACCAACACACATGCACACACATGCACATAAACCACCTCAGTGGCCTCTTGGTAAGTAGTCCACTTTGAGAGATCTGTATGGCTCTTTTCGTCTATGCAGACGGTCAATGTAGCTTAAGATGGTCTCAAGGTTGTCTTCATGCAGCTTCTTTCATGGCTAATTCTTCCTATGTTTGAAGCACAGATTCTGTCGCAGTGCTTGCATGTCAGTGTCGTAGATCGAAGCTCTGTATTTCTGCTGTTTTCCTTTCATTGTTGGCGCTTCTCAGCCAGGTTGTTTCTAAGGCTGTTCTCTAGCATTTTAGTTCTTTCCTTTATAATTTTCCTCCTTTTTTTTTTACGGTCCTCAGCTATTTCTTCCCAGGTGTTAACATCTACTCCAAGCTTAGATAAACTGTTTTTGCAAGTGTCTTTGTACCTCAATTTTGGTCTTCCCGATCCCAGAACGCCTCAACTTCAAAAAATCAGACTGGGACGGGTTTGGCAATCAATGTTCCCACATTCTTAATCTCAATTTCGACCTCAACTACAATAAATTCCACGAAAAGCTTTTAAGCCCCATTTAGACGTACAGTTCGTTGATCAACAAACTGACAGTTTAACCGACGGGCGCTCGATCTCGGTCATCGGTAAGCTGACAGTTTGTCGACGAGAGAAGTTCCGTTTAGACCACAGAATTCTACACTTATAGAAGCGGAACTCCCTCTTCGCGATCGCTGATTCGCTGTGAGGAATTGAAACTAAAACATGGCGGCCAGTTGAGGGCACCTTTGGCTGCGCCGCACAGCGAGGCTTCGCGTTGCTATGCACGCTGATGCTAGTGGTAGGGCTTGGAAGACACCCTACATCAGTATTTTAAAACTCACAAGTCTGCACCGACCCAAAACCTGATCGCCTCCTTCGGATGGGAACAGTTGAAGCACCCATCGTACAGCCCAGACCTGGCTCCAAGTGACTCTCATCTGTTCCTGCATTTGAAAAAGTTTTTAGCCAGGCAGGACTTCGACTCCGACGCTGATCTCAAAGGAGACACTCGACATTGGCTGACATCGCAGGCGGCAGCTTTCTACAATGAGGGCATTCAGAAGCTCATCCCATGCTACGACAAATGCTTCAAAAGTTCTGGAGACTACATGGAGAAGTAGTCATATATATGAGGTTTTAAAAAATAAATCGTTTTGATTGGGAAATTTTTTTTCTTTTAAAATTATTTAAAAACTGTACTTACTTTCTGGAAGTCTTTCGTGTTATTTCTTAAAGGCACTGTACTAGATTTATCCAATTAGTATTAGTGTATGTCTTGAACGCAGAATGACGGAGAAAATCAGTTTTTTCCCCTCTCCTGTAAAAATATGCTTCGTGTGAAAGTCACGATTTCATCAGGTGACTGACGATATGTGGTTTGATGTACTGCTGATGTAATAGTGTGAGCATAGTGACAGGTTAAACAAAGCTAAAAATCATGGCAATAACATTTTCATTGTGAATCTTTCAGTAAGTTAAAATTCCCTGTGCTGACCTCTTGACCCCAAGGTCATGGCTGGTTTGAGTCGCATTGAACGCCGGGGCTCTGCGGGGTGTCCGTGGAACTAAAGTACTGCCTGTTAACAGCGATGATGGGAGTGACTAGGGCAATTAAGCAATGCATTCACAAACCCCAAGGAGTTTCGACTGAGGACGCAACCTAACATGCCTCAGTGTTGGAAGCATTACAAGATAAACACAATGAGCGGGTGACACTGACGGAGCTATTGGCCTAGCCTTGGTCTCGTTGCAAACTGTTTTAGATTGTACCTGGCGAGTCCTTGGGTGTCAATGAACAAGCTGATGAGCTAGCCGATAAGGCTGAGAATGATGGCGCTATGCCACAGATCCACAGACAGTCATTGCAGCATTGACAGCATGGTTTAACAGCCACAGAGAAGATGAGGGCTCCACATCACTCACATTGGAAAGACTGAGGGAAGCTGGTGTGTCAAGAGGGTCAGGGAGAGACAGCAACCTGTGTGGAAAAGCTAGGAGAATATCCAACCTGCTGATGACTGACACGATCAGCCAGCCAACCCTTTCTTGGGTCCTGGAGGGTACTAGTAGAGAGGAAGAGCTGTGGCACTGCACTGCCTCCAGTGATCCCTATTCTCCAACCAAGCAACCAATTTCCATTATTTTCACTAAAAGAACAGTCATTATTCTAAGCATTTATCTCTTGTTTAGCCCCACATTACTTGTGAAGTCTTTTTCTTTGTGAAAGCAACTTCATACATTTTTAAGCATTTCCACAAAATTCCAGTGACATCCCTGTGGAGCCCGTGGCTGTAGGGTTAAAGAAAAGAAAGAGTGGAAAAAGAAAAAAGACAAAAACTGGTATTTGCCGTTTGGTTAGATTGCAGTATTCATATATCCATAATGTGTTGGGTACGAATACAGATCTGAGTCCAACGCCATTAAATGTATGATTTTTCATCCATAATGAATGATCAATTGTAGTTAAATTAGGCTAATCTTTCTTTGCTATGAATTAGGTAAAACCTATCTACAGGGTGAATTCATTTCAAGTTTCCTTCGCCTGCTGAGATCATGGTTAAGATTAGTAAAGAGTAGAGAGCTTTTTATATTGAACACCAAAGTCTTTCGTAAGTTTGGCATACAGTACAGAAATAATGCTAAAGTGCCCTTAAGACCTTCTTTGATGTTATGGGTGGAGATGTTCTATCAATTAGGACCTAGAAATTCCCTGTTTTTTCGCTCTCCTTTATTCACCTATCACTTTGCAACAAATTTGTGTCTTGATAATGTAGCCCATAAATTTTTATATCTTTCTATAAAAGTGATACTTAAAATTCAACCTGTCTTGTCTTGCCTCTTCTTTCAGACGCATGATGATAGAAAAGATTGCAGCCCACCTGGCGGACTTCTCTCCTCGCCTCCAGAGCAACACGCGGGCCCTCTACCAGTATTGTCCCATCCCAGCCATCAGCTTCCCGCAGCTGGACAATGAGCTGTTCTGCAACATTTACTATCTCAAACACCTGTGCGACACTGCACGCTTCCCGGACTGGCCCATCAAGGACCCGGTAGGTAGCTATTTGGCTTAAAATAAAATTACCCTTTCATGTCTTTAGGCACATCACAATGATAACAACCTGCTGTTTCTTGTTCCTCTAGGACATAGCTGCAATTCCACTGTAATTCCCCACAGGATTGGTGATTTTGTAGACTGGATCGAACGTCGGGCTATACTTTACTTTTTCTCTCTGACAACCAATCCGATCTTGTCTTTGTAAGATCTTATTTGTTTGGATTCGTCTCTTGGACCCTCCTTCTCTCCCTTGCGGGTAGATAGAGGGCACCACTGGTAGGTCATATTTTTTTACTTTCCCTCCTTTGTTTCTGTCTGTCTGTCTTACTTTTTTCCAGCATTAAATGACCAGCATTGTGTCAATGTGACATTTCAATGTGCTTCTCTTTGCTTAGTCCTTCCTCCCTCCTTTCCTCCCTCCCTCCCTCTCCCTCCTTCTTCCTCCCCTCTCTTTCTCTTTCTCTTTCTCTCTCTCTCTCTCTCTCTCTCTCTCTCTCTCTCTCTCTCTCTCTCTCTCTCGCTTTTATTTGAAGATGTTAATTATAGATAAAGAACAGATTTCATTTACTTTTTATTGATTAAAAATGTATCTGTGGCATCTCTAAAGTCTCTCTACTCTAATCCCTTTCAGATCCGCTTGCTGAAAGATATTCTTGATGCATGGAAAAAGGAAGTTGAAAAGAAACCTCCAACCATGAGCTTTGAGGAAGCTTACAGTGTGCTGAATCTTTCAAAAGGAACTGGAGGGTGAGGATATTATTTGTTTTTCTTTTAGACTTGTGTCCCTCTACAGATGCCATGTTATAGTTCTTTATTGCATCAGACATGCATTGACTGTAAGAACGTGGTACCCCCAGTGGGTCGGGGGGGATATAAATAGACCCACTGCTTCATCTGCAGAAGGTGCAACCCCCTCAAAGGCGGAGTGTCACTCACGGACCCCAACCCTCTGGGATCAGTGTGCGACACTTACTTTGGTGTATCTTCCTCTTCTCCTTCCTTCTTTCTTTCTTCTTCTTTCTTTCCTTCCACCGCTGACCTCATGTGCAGCAAAACGAGAGGTCACCCATCCCACGGCACGGCTGTTCAGTTCTACTATCCTTGCGGAGCACTTAGTTTAACCCGTCCGCTGACCTCCCGGGGTCATAAATCCTACCTGACAGCCGGGCCGCGCATCGCTTCTTGGGCGATAGCGCTGTTAGCCGATTTCGGTGAGAAAGTCTGTAATTTTCTCTTGATTTAGACCCCTGTAAATGTCCCCTCTTATTTACCACTATGGGTGTGTGGGGTATCAAATGAAAGCTCTGATTCTTCAAAATAACTGGCATCCTTTAGTTCGTTTCTAGATCTGAGCGTGTGCACGCACTGCCTCTGTACTTAACCCTACCTTGTGGTGCACGTTTTTCTCGGATTCCTACAAAATCAGGATTTTTTTTCAATTCGTGAACTTCAGATTGTAACCGGTTATTTTTCTGCTGTATTAAGAATCAGTAAGGAGATTATTTGCGAAAAAATTGTTTTGATTGGTTGAAAAACTTAAGCAGGACGGCGAGTTTTATTACTTCACCCTGTGATATTTTCCCGGCCTCCGCGCTGCCCGTGCGGTATTCACCCCGAGGTCCCGCTTTCACTTTCTCTGATTCTGTCTCGACAGGTGTTACGAGAGTCTACTACCAGAGTGAAAATGGAACACACACGGGAACTACACCTTGAGAGTTTTAAAAAATTGTGTAGAACATGCGGGGCCAGAAGTCAAAAGGCTAAGAAGGCAAACCAGAGTAGATATTTTTGTGTGAATTTTAAGAAAGACTTACTCGTGTTCTATCGTGTGAACGTTGAATCGGATAGTGTAGACACACATCCCAGTGAACTGTGCAACAAATGTGTACAACGCATATACACCTTAAGAAAACAAATTCGAGAAGCAACCCTAGCTGCAGCACAAAAAAGTACAGAAGAAAGTTCCCACATCTGGACACCTTTCGATCAAAATAAAACAGTAGATGCTTGCCCTGTGTGTTCCCTTTGCACACTTCAAAATAAAGGTCGTGCTAGAAAAGTACATCAAACACCGTCTTGCTCAAAAGACCCACCAGAGCCTCCATCTGTTGAAACATTGACTCATATAATTGCGGCAGACGAACTATCACATGAAAGTACTCAACAGACACCCATAGTAGATCAATCATCACTAGAAATATCAACAGTGAATCCCCACACAGAGATCTAACCCTAGAGACACCAGTGGCAACTTCAACACCCAAACGCACACAAAAAGAGTTCAAAGACAGTGCAACATCTCCTTTCGCACAGTTTAAGGACACATCACTAGAGCATGCAATTCTGAGACCTATTACACAACCATTGTCTCATTTAGAAGAAACACTCGCTACACAAATGACACGCAGAAAACTTTACTCTTCGGCAGAGAAAGGGAAGGTACAGTTTAAAACTAGAGGGCAGCCATTAGTGTTTCAAAGGATAATTTCACACAGAAAACCCTCCAATCTAGCCAGCTCACCAACAAAAAAGCGAAGGTCAAACATCATAAGCAAAGTGAGGCAAACAGTCGGGGGTAGTAGCAAGGGGGACGTAGAGATCCAACATGCATCAGACTTCAAGAGGCAGACAAGGGTAGTTAGACGCAACATCTTACGCAAAAGTGGGATCAAAGAAAAAGTTGTTGTAGACGCAAAATTTGCCCTCGCCATGAAAGAAGCAATGGGGTTGACTTGGCACCAAGATAGAGAGAGGAGGAGACTGTGGCAAAAGGTGGGAGTTTGCATCCCCAGTGAGCATCGCGAGAGGACAATTTATAAAGACATAGTGGCAGATACTGTAGAAATAGAGACAGTGAGGGTGTCATTAGGTGAAGGGCCTAGCATGTTGGAGGAGCCAGTGGCAGGGGTCCCTGACCTTGAAAAGTTTGTGTTTAACCTTCTTGACCAGTACGAGAAGGATGGTAGACTCACGTGGCACAACTCAGGCATCCCAGAGGATCAAATCTGGCTTAAAATTGGGGGGGACCATGGCAGGGGAAACTTAAAGATCTCTGTGCAGGTTGTTAACTTAGAGAAACCAAATTGCAGGGAACACACCCATGTTGTTTCAATGATCAGGCAAAAGGACTCATATCAAGTTTTGAAAGCAGTTCTTTCAAAACTTACTGTCGGCATTGAAAGTCTCCAGACAAAGAAATGGAAGGACAAATCAATCCTTCTGTTCTTGTTCGGGGACTACGATTTTTTTTGTAAAACATATGGTTTGTCAGGTCACAGGGGAACCTACCCTTGCCTGTGGTGTCTGACCAAATCACAGGATATTCAGTCACAAAGATCCCGCAAGAGAACGAACACTTGCTATGATCGAATCTAGCTGTAGGAGATTTTTTGTATATGGGAAGGGAAACAAAGCAAGTGCCTGACGTTTTCACAACTGCATAAGGGAACCTCTGATAGGCATAGAAACTGAAAAGGTTGTGCCACCCTACCTTCATATTCTATTAGGAATCACACTCAAGCATCACAACTTGCTTGAGGCAGAAACCCACGCCTTGGATCTACAGCTAGCTCAGACTTTTTCAGAGCCGAACTACCGTTACGACCAGAACTTTTCTGAGTTTGACGTGTATGTTCCAAGAATTGTCAAAAAAAAGACAGCTAGAAGAGAAATGTATGCATTTGGAGGGCTGTCTCGTCTTTTCTGAGACAGAGGGAGATAAAAAGAGATATCAGGAAGAATTAACAGCATGTGCTGACGAACTTGAGAAAGTGACAGTACACTCGCTGGCACATGGGACGGGCCCTGTCACTGGAAGTCTGGACAAAGTTTTGGAAGGGCATGGCATTGTACCTCAGGTTTACCATAGTAGATCATTGATAGGAAACCACTGTCACCAATACTTGAAGCGCCCTGTGTACACAAGCATCACAAAACACATTTGCACATACACTGCAGCTCTTACATCTAACCAAAACATCGTAGATGCAGCCCACGCAATCAGACAGAAATTTGATTTGCTGAACAGTAGCTTTGCTGAAGTGCACCACCTCATTTCTCATACTCACAAAATACACACAACCGAGTTTGCCATCATAGAAACAACAATTTCTGCATATTTGAAGCTGTACAGACGATTATTTCCAAACACAGTCATACCCAAACAACACATATTAAAGCACCACTGTCTGCCTTTTATAAAAAGATATGGATTTGGCCTGGGTTTGATGGGCGAGCAGGGTGGTGAACTTGTTCACTCCAGCATCGCAAAATTGGAGAAGAGGACAGTAGAAATCAAAGGAAAGGGGAAGTAGTTAAAAGCTGTTGTTGAGGCCCACAGACTGCAAAATGCGTCCACGCTCAGGCAGCAGCTTGGGAAAGGAAAGAAGAGGAAGACATTTAGCCTTTGAACTCAAAGACACGTTTTTGTATTTATTGTCATGAGTAATCATATTAGTGTTTGTGAGTGTGAAAGCAGCTCTGGTTGTGAGAAGACAATGAGGAAACTCTTGTTTCATGAATTGGATAGCAGCGAACCTTCTACAAGTTAACCATAATTTCTGCTTGACCTGTGAGGAGACAACGCAAAATCTTTCGTTTCATGAACTTGACAGCAGTAAATCTTCTACAATGTCCCCGTTTCTGAACCAATCGAACCAAAAGTAAGTGTTTCTGAAAGCTCATCATGTCACTGTTGTATACCAATGATTATTTTAGAGATCTGAAGTTCAGATTTTAAAATATCTTAATTTTAAAGAGTAGACCCATGTAAAAATGTCCCCCAAAGATGCACTCAATTGTGCCCCTGTTTTAAAGGGTGCCCAGCTATGAATATCAATAAAAAGTTATTGGCTGTACAGCCCATGAATGCCTCTATCTGTTGATAATATTTTTACTTCGATGTGTCTATGGGCAAAGCCACAATGACGATATTAAAGTGTATAAAAATTGTTAAGTCACAACAGTTCTCTCGTAGAGCAAAGGTCAAAGTGACCTCCCTGACCACCCGAGCGCGGCATGGATGACCGGGTCAATTCCTCAGGTAACTAAGTGCTCCGCTCGGGAACAGCCGTGACAGAGTGGGCACCTCGTTGACCGTGAGGTGCGACCCGTGCGGAGGGAAACCGGGTACCTAGCGGTTGAGGTGAGATCAGTCCACGGACTGTCCCTCGCCAACATACCTCTTTGGCCCAGGTTTTCCTCTTAGACGGGAGGGTGGCACGGCCCATGCCACTCAATCGGTTGAGAGCTGAAACCCGATCAAACCCTTGGTCAATCTTGATGGGAGGGCCTTGTACTTTCTTGTTGAGAGTATAGCTCCGGGGTAGCCC